CCCCCCCCGTCTTACCTGGTGCCCTCCACACCTGGTACCCTAAGTTCTGGGTGATGCTTCTCCAGTCTTGGGGGGTGGGGAGAGTGGCAATAGAGGGGTACGGCGATTTAGCTGTGTGTCCACAAGTGTGGGTCTCCGGAGCCCCTCGGTGGGAAATCTCTGCCCTGTGGGACTTGTTCTGTGGGTGGGTGGGCTCTGCCTGGTTGTACTCAAGGGATTCCGAGGCACTTGAGAGGTGGAAGAGCACCACAGTCCTCTCAACCAGGCCTGCCCCCAGGCTGCCAGGGCCAGCCCCTTTCTTGCACACCACACACACACACACACACACATACACACACCCCTCCCCAAGTCCTGCTGGCTCTAGCAAGATGAGTGGCCCTCTGGGCACCCGTGTTTAGTCAAACACACATGTTTCCTTTTGCACAACAGATGGATTCCTATACAAGGTGCAAAATCAATTTTACCTCATTATTAAATATCTCCTGCACATCAAGAAAATTTCACCATTTATGGGAATCCGGTGATAAATTCTTCTGCAACATGAGCTGTCTTTTCGTATAGCAAATAATTCCCTGGTTTACTGTGTGTAAGTGGGGAGTTTTGCACAGATCGTTTGTTTAAAACAAATCAGTCTTTCAATGATGGGTGCTTGCCCAACCTTAGAATGGGGTTCTTGAAGGAGAGTGGCTTCCCTCCTCACAGAATGGATTTCTGGGCGGGGAGGGGACGGGGGACACCACACGAGGGCAGTGCAGAGTTGTCCTCCAGGTTGCCTTTCAGTCAACCAACCAAGGGTGTTCGGGGTACTTAAAGAAGTAGAAAGCAAGAAGTAACTGAATCCCAAGTGCTAAAGGTACCTAGGGGTAACCAGCTTGGCCCCAGCCCCGAGCCACACCCACAAAGACCCATGCCCCCACGCTCACCCTGTGGGTGTGGTCTGTCCCTTGCCCTGTTGGCAGATGGTCCCCCTGCCCCTCAAGCCCAGGGTGGCAGGGGTGCAAGTCCCTTTGCACCAGCCTCATGCCATCACTTCCTACCCAGAGCTGGGGGAAGCGACCCCCCACCTCTCTCTGTTCAGATCCTCCGCGATGAGTCCCTCCTACTTGTCAGAAAAGAGGCAGGTCCCCAGAACCTGAACCCCCGAACTCCAGTTTTTCTCCAACACTTCTGCAGCTCCCTTTTTTTTTTGCCAGCACCTCCCCCACCCCCAGTTCCTTGTAAGAGGGAATTTCTCTGGTTCTGAGGATGCTGTGGTGTGAAAGAGGGGCCAGGCCAGAGAGGGGGGCCAGTCACCCCTCCCCAAGAGAAAACGGAGCACCAGCCCCATGCCACTGTCAGATCACAGCCCCTCAGGCAGGCAGACAAGGGGGCTGTGGGAACCCCAGCCAGACAGGCGGGGATGTTGGGATAATTTAGCAGGTGGCCTCGTTACTCCCAGATCTGTCACCATGGTAACCTGTTTTTTTCTTTAAAAAATGTACAGTGCCAAGAGGAGGAAGATGGCTGACAAAATCCTCCCTCAAAGGGTGAGTGCCTTCCACAGCAGCCCCTAGCCGTCCCCCCTCCCCGGCTGCCCGCCCTCCCCCACCCCCTCAGGAGCAGCTCTGCCACAGCCACTTTCACTTTTTGTTTAAAAAGCTCATTAAGAAGTGAGGCTCCCCAGGCCAAATTGGGGTGGGGGGGTGGGGAGAGCTAGCCTGGGGACAGAACAGGGCCTGAGTGGTGGTGGGGGGAAACCCTTGAGTGCCAGCAGTCCCTGCAATAAGACAAAAAGCATGGGACAAAGGGAGGACAGAGGCTGCCAGGTGAAGGGAACAGAAGGGAGGAGGTCCTGGCCATTGTAAACAAACAGTACAGTTGAGAAGGGGTGGGGGTGTCAAGCAGTGCTATCCCCCAACATCTCAGAACCCCAGAGCCCCTTGGCACTTTGCAGGGGCTCAAGGGTGGAGAGATGAGGTTAGGCCCCTGTCACTGCACCTGCTGGGCTGGCACAGCACCTAGCACCCTGGTGATGAGACACATAGATCTGCCTGGAGGGAGAAGCCATTTTTTTTTCCCACACAAGGAGGCTGGAGAATGGAATTCTGGAGAGAAGTACTATCTGCACCTGCAACATTTCATACCATGAAGCCAGACAGTTCCCATCCACAGCCTTGTGTGTCCTGGGATCAGCAAATAAGTGCACGTTCTGTATTGTAAGATTGACTGAGCCTCGCTCCTCCTCCAGATTCGGGAGCTGGTCCCCGAGTCCCAAGCTTACATGGACCTCCTAGCATTTGAGAGGAAACTGGATCAAACCATCATGCGGAAGCGGGTGGACATCCAGGAGGCCCTGAAGAGGCCCATGAAGGTGCCTTAGTGTGGGGGAAGGAAGCGGGAGCCCAGGGCCCAGGAGGAACGAGGTGGCCCTTGGGTGGGGCACACAGCTCTGGTTCTCTACTCCATCCTTTATTTCTACAGCAAAAGCGGAAGCTGCGGCTTTATATCTCCAATACTTTTAACCCTGCAAAGCCTGATGCTGAAGACTCTGATGGCAGCATTGCCTCCTGGGAGCTGCGGGTGGAGGGGAAACTCCTGGATGATGTACGTCCTGGCCCAGGTCTCTCCAGGTGTCCTGGGGTGGGTATGGGCTGAGTCAAGAAGAGAACTAGATGTCTGCTCCTAGGCTTGGGGGAGCAGCCCTGCTTGGGGGGACACAGGGGGCTGGGAATGGGGCTGGTGCGGAAGACTACCTCGCAGCGTGCTATCTGCCTGCTGCCAGCTCAACCCATTCTGCTCCGGTAGTCTCTGTGCGTCCCCCACAGTCCCTGTCCTCTTCCCACAGCCCAGCAAGCAGAAGCGGAAGTTCTCATCCTTCTTCAAGAGTCTGGTTATTGAGCTGGACAAGGACCTTTATGGCCCGGACAACCACCTCGTTGAGGTAAGACAGGTTGCTCCTGCCCTGTAATCACTCCCTCCCACAAACCCAAGGCTCCCAAGCAACTCCTAGAGTTTCTAGGACTACTCTAGAGCCCAGAGTCAAGCTAATCCAGATGGGCCTGTGGGTGAACCAGCAATTCCCCCTGGACAGTGGCATCGGACCCCTACCACCCAGGAGACGGACGGGTTCCAGGTGAAGAGACCGGGCGACCTCAGTGTGCGCTGCACCCTGCTCCTCATGCTGGACTACCAGGTCTGTGCCTGCCCTTGCCACACCCCACACCCCCTCCTGTTCAGAGCATGCTTTTAACAAGCCCAGGGGTCAAGGCCTCAGTCCCATGCACTCCGCCTGGCTGAGTTCTCACCATTCTCCCCCTTGGTTCCAATTATCCTGGTCGCTTTTGCCCCCCAGCCTCCCCAGTTCAAACTGGACCCCCGCCTGGCCCGGCTGCTGGGGTTGCACACACAGAGCCGCTCGGCCATTGTCCAGGCCCTGTGGCAGTATGTGAAGACCAACAGGCTGCAGGACTCTCACGACAAGGAATACATCAACGGTGACAAGTATTTCCAGCAGGTAATGTCTCCTGAAGCCAGGGATCTGGGCAGCAGAGCAGTTGGGAAGGCATGTGGGCCTCCCTGCTAAGATCCTGGAGTATCACAGCTCCTCTCAGCCACTGCCCTGGAGCAGAGAGGCCAGAATCCATCAGGCCTCCACCATGGCTACTGCTGATCCATTTAGCCTCCCCAGGCTGGAAAGATCTGGAACCCTACCAGAAAGCCAACAGCCTTCTGGAATGTAATACCCTAGCACTTAAAGTAAAGATCCAGGGTTCCAGTCCTGGGTCTAGGCTTGAGGTGAGTTACCCTGATATTCTGCATTTCATTTCATCTTTGTAGAGATGAAAACTGAGCCATCTAGCTTACTGGGCAGCTACAAAAACCAAACTGCTGCACAGCGGCTTGACAAAATTCTACCAAAGTACAGAGTACTATTATCAATACTTTTAAAAATAAATACAAGAGGGCTGGGAGGTGGCTCAGTGGTACAGTGCTTACCTTGCATGCATGAGGCCCTGGGTTCAATTCCTTAGCACCACATAAGCAGAAAAACCTGGAAGTGGCACTGTGGCTCAAGTGGTAGAGCACTAGCCTTGAGCTGAAGAGCTGAGGGACGGCGCCCAGGCCCAGAGTTCAGGCCCCATGACCAGCCAAAAATATAAGTAAATAAATACAAGAGATAAATATTAGTAGAAATGGTGGCTGATATTTATTAAACACTTACCAAGTAGCAGTATTGTTCCAGGCACTTTATGTGTATTGATTCCCACAATTCCCCTGATAACTCAGTCCCACAGGGGTTGTGAACACCGAGGCTTGAGGTGTTAGTGTCTCACTCGCTCAAGGTTGCACAGAATATGATGGCAGCAGGACTAATACCCAAGCAAAGAGACCCCGGACCCTACACACACCACCCAGATAGCCATACAGCTGATCACCTTGGGCCTGGCCCACCCAAGGAGTCTGACTTTCACCTTCTGTGGCCCTTTCCAGAATGGAAGGATCTAGAAGCAGAGTTTCCACCTCTTCACACACACACACACACACACACACACACGTGCACACGCAAGCGTGCACGATCACACCCTCTTCAACTGTCCCACTTCAGATTTTTGATTGTCCCCGGCTGAAGTTTTCTGAGATCCCCCAGCGCCTCACAGCCCTGCTGTTGCCCCCTGACCCGATTGTCATCAACCACGTCATCAGGTGAGGTGGACCCAGCCTGCTCCTCAGGCCACGGATCACCCCTCCACACACCCTTCCCTCCCAGTTGCACCCACTCTAGCCTGGGGTCACGGGCTTCTGTGGGGCATCGTGGACACCAAGGGCTGGACTTCCCTGGCAGTGTGGACCCGTCAGATCAGAAGAAGACGGCGTGCTATGACATCGATGTGGAGGTGGAGGAGCCACTGAAAGGGCAGATGAGCAGCTTCCTCCTGTCCACAGCTAACCAGCAGGAGATCAGTGCTCTGGACAGTAAGGTGGGGCCTAAGCCCAGAGCTGGAGTGGGACATTAGCCCGTAGAAGATAGCGCCCACTTACACCACAAGCACAGGGCTACAAGGACATGGGGACATGCAGGCCCTGCCAACCTCATTCCTTTTCACTTGGCCCAAGCCCTCCCTTGTTTCAGACAGGGGCTCCGAGGGGCTGCCCCTCACAGAAGCATGCCCTCCTCCTTCCCTCCCCACCCTTGCCCACGTCACAGAGCCAGATTGAAATCACGTCTTTCTACCTGCAGATCCATGAGACGATTGAGTCCATAAACCAGCTCAAGATCCAGAGGGACTTCATGCTAAGCTTCTCCAGAGACCCCAAGGGCTATGTCCAAGACCTGCTCCGCTCCCAGAGCCGGGACCTCAAGGTGAAGAGGGAGACTTGGGAGCACTGGAGTGGAAGACAAGCACATGGGGAAAGAGCTTAAATGGCGGTCACCAGGGCAGGGGAGGCCCCGGGGACTCAGCTGAGCCCATGCTCCCTCCCAGGTGATGACAGATGTAGCTGGCAACCCTGAAGAAGAGCGCCGGGCCGAGTTCTACCACCAGCCCTGGTCCCAGGAAGCAGTCAGCCGCTACTTTTACTGCAAGGTAGGGAAGGGCCCTGGCCGTGGTGAAGCTTCCTCTTCCTCTCGGTGCTCCCTGTGGTGACCTTGCCTACCCCCCACCTTGCCCTGCAGTAGCTCCCACTCTCAGGACAGGGGTGCCAGGGGTGGGCTCCCCTGGTCACTCACCAGGAGCATGTGACCCTGCTCCTGTTCACACTTCCTCTAAAGATCCAGCAGCGCAGGCAGGAGCTGGAGCAGTCGCTGGTGGTGCGCAACACCTAGGAGCCTGGATACCACTGTGGACCAGCCAGCCGCGCCCTGCTCCCCAGTGCTCGGCCCATCGCGCGGGCCTCACGCCTCTGCTACCTTGGTGGGGTGGGGAGGACTGGATTAAAGGTCATTCATCTAACAGTAGTCTTGTGGTCATTGCACACTGAGAAGGGAAGGAAGAAAAGAGGGAGGACAGGGAGGGTAAAGGCAGTGGGGTCCCTGTGGACAAACTCCCCACATCACACCCTCAGGCTCTCTCCTTACCCCAATTTCCCCTAGATCTAAAAACAGTTTGGCAGAAGATACTTTTTAATAATTTTCTTATTTAAAAAAATACAGTGGCAAGCCCTCATCTGTCCATCACCTTGCCTTGTCCTTCCTGGGACAAAGGCAGAGGAAAGGGGGGGGGTCGGGGGGGGCGCCCACACGCAGAGGTTGTTCTAGGTGCTGTTGGCCTGCTCTTGCTCAAAGAGAGCCATGGCCAGCTGTGCACGGCCCCCCAGCCCCTCCAGGTTGCTGAGGCGGCAGCGGTGGTAGAGATCCTCGCTCAGTCGGGGGCTACAGTCCCGCATGGAGAACTTCTGCACCAGCCCTGGCTCTACGGCTCGAAAGAGGTGGAGCCCTGAGAACCGGAGGAAAACATCCATCACCTCCAGCCCCTCCAGGGCTTCCTCCTCTTCCTGGCCTGCCAGTTCCCCAGCCAGCCTGGCGCGGGCCGCCAGGTAGTCAGCGTTGTAGAAGCAGCCCTCGGCAGACGCCTGACGGTCAAATCTGCCACCAACAGGAGCCCCCCGGGAAGGGTCTGCACCAGGGGGGGATGGGGGGTCAGGGCCAGCCCCAGCAGGTCCCGGGGCTGATCTCTGTGGTGACAGGGCAGGGTTGAACTCCTGGAAATGAACTGGAAAAAAGGCCTGCCAGCCGGAGATGGCATTCATGCGGCAGCGGTTGAGGACTTCAGGCCCGGGCCTCGTCCACACGGTGGTGAGGAAGAACAGCGTGTCCACGGGGTGCTTCTTGGAGACCACGTCCATGAGCCGCACCTGGGAAGGGGCCTCGGCTCGCACGGCCAGCCAGGCTAACCTCGCACCAGGGTACCTTCGCTCTAATTCAGCCGCTGCAGCCTTCACCCCAAGAAAGGGGTCTGGGGCCCCACGACCACCTTCCTGGGGCCCATAGACCAGCAGTAAAGTGAGCAAGGCGTGCTCTCGGGGCTCCAGGACACTGGCTGCAAAGGCCTCAAGGAAAGCCAGGGCCGCAGTGGCTTCGGCCACGAGGAGCGGCAGAACCAGCTGCACCCGGGTGGCCTCAGTGACATAGGGCATAGGCAGGATTTCCACCCGGCTCAAGGGTCGCAGCAGGCTGACCCTGCGGGCCAGTGCCCGCCGGTGCCCACGCTGCGTCACAGCTTCCAACAGCAAGTCCAGGGTGTACTCCATTCCCCGCGCTGGGTCAAAGCGCCGATAGCCGTTGAGCAGCCGCTGCTTCTGGAAGCGCAGGCGGGGCTGGTAACGCCGATTGAGCTGTTCCAGAGCAGTGTCCACCGCGTCACCCACATCTGCCCTGCTGGCCCCCTGCAGTGGGCACTTTGGGGCCCCATCTGCACAGGAGAAGGTGTGCTGCTCTGTGAAGTAGTCCCAGCCCAGCACTTCAAAACGGGAGTGTGGTGTGAAAGGGGCTGGGAGCCCCACAGGCCAACTCAGCCCTGCCTCGCCCTCAGGGGTCAGCATCGTCAGGTTCCGGATCTGAGCCTACATTGGAGAGAAGGCACCTAAGGTCAGTGCCAGCTCTGGGATCCCGCCCACCTCCACCTGACCAGGCTCCAAGACTCCAATAGCAAGACCCTGGCCAGTGTCTGCACATTACACTCCCTACCTCTAAACTGAAAGACAGCCCCCTTCTAAACTGTTGGGGGAGGGGGGCGGCTTTGCAGTCTGAATCACAGATTGACAATCTTTCCCTCCCATGACCAAAGGATTCACACTCATCTATAAGCCAACAGTGACCTTGGACCCTTTACCAGCTACCCCTCTCCCTCTACCATCAGAAGTACTTAAACAGCTCTAGAAGCTTAGAAGACCTGAGTTTCTGTCGCCTCAGAACCACACTGTTGGTGTGAAGCTAAAATGGTCTATCTGAACATCTGCTAGTTACTGATCCCCACATTATAGTATTTAACTTAACAATTGTCCTGGATTAGTGTAAATCACTAGGAATCCAGAAACTCCTTTCATAGTGTAGCAGAGTGGCGCAGAGGAAGCGTGCTGGGTCCATAACCCAGAGGTCGTTGGATTGAAACCATCCTCTGCTAGTAGTTTTGGGGCTGGGAAGGTGGCTCAGTGGTAGAGCGCTTGCCTTGCATGCCTGAGGCCCTGGGTTCGATTCCACAGCACCACATAAGCAAAAAGAAAAAAGCCGGAAGTGGCAGTGTGGCTCAAGTGGTAGAGCACTAGCCTTGACCTGAAGAACTGAGGGACAGGGCTGGGAAGGTGGCTCAGTGGTAGAGCACTTGCCTTGCATGCCTGAGGCCCTGGGTTTGATTCCTCAGCACCATATAAGCAAAAAGAAAAAAGCTGGAGGTGGTGCTGTGGCTCAAGTGGTAGAGCGGTATCCTTGAGCTGAAGAGCTGAGGGACAGCACCCAGGCCCAGAGTTCAGGCCCCACGACTGGACCAAAAAAAAAAAAAAGAGCTGAGGGACAGTGTCCAGGCCCAGAGTTTAGGCCCCACGACCGGACCCAAAAAAAAAAATTGTCCTGGACCCCGAAAACCTTTGTCTCTGTACTTGTGTGTGTGCCAGTAATGGGGGTTGAACTCAGCCTGAATGCTTTCCCTTAGCTTTTCAGTCAATACTGGTGGCTCTACTACTTAAGCCACAGTTCCACTTCTAGCCTTTTTGTGGTTAAAAGCCTCACAGACGTTTCCTGCCTGGGCTGGCTTCAAACCACAATCCTCAGATCTCAGCCTCCTGAATAGTTAGGATTTACACTTGTGAGGCACTAGCTTCCTATAGCTGTTTTGAATTTGAGCACAGGCAGCTTCTTTCTACCCCAGCCCAAATCACTCAGCTGCCTGCTGTGAGTGTGGACGCCTCAGGCTCCTCTGATCTCTGCAGTGATCCTTGGGCCCCTGGCTGACTCAGCTCACCTGCAGTTGTTCTATTTCGCTGTAAGCTCGCTCCAACTCCAGAGCACTGAAGCGCTTGTGCAGCCGGTACATGAGGGTGCCTTCGGAGACAGGGTGCACAGCAAAGGCATTCAGGAAAGCCACACTCCCCTCCTTCTCAGGATCCCTATTCTTGGCCAGTTCAAAGGAGCGATACTGCTGCCCCTAGAGGGACAATCAAAACAATCAGCGCTGCACACAAAGGCCATCTGCCCCAACCCACCTGGACCACCTGCTCCCACTGCTGATTTAGAATAGATGGAGGGGCTTTTGCCAGCAGCTCCTTTAACCCTGATTCTTACTTTCACTGTCCACATTTTGCTTATAAGAAAGCAAGCAGACAAACTAAGACATCCTCTCGCCCAGAGTCCACTGTTTCTCAAAGGGCTGAAAGCCTCTAGATGGAGGAATCCCTGCCCCTGGGGTCTTCCGCTCTTCTCTAGTATGGCAGAGTTGCTCAGAGCAGGCAAAAGGATGTCTGGGTTTTCTTCTCTGGGAACACTGTCCCTAACTGCTGTGCTGGGAAGAACGGTTGTGGGAGGGAGAGATGAAAGGAGTGCTGCTGAGTTGGGGAACCTTTCTGTCTCCCATTTTTGATGCCCCCAGCTAAGCAAGAGGATGCTAAGGGGAGATCAATGTCTGAGAAGGTCAAAAGGATGGCCTCTAGCAACCAGCTGGGAACACCTTCGCTCCTTGCTAGGGACGGGAACTAACGTGAAAGGGCAATCACCTGGTGTTGTGAGACACAGCCAACACCCAGAGAGTCAATGAGGCAGCGGCCAAGCCACTCGTCAGGACGGGCACTGAGGATGTCTCCTCGGCAGCCATCCAGATGAGGCCGCAAGCGAAGCAGGAGACTCCGTGATAGCAGGTAGCCAAATCCCCCGTGGCAATACCGAGCCTGCTCGCCTGCACCAATGAACTCCTCTGCCCGGCCCAAGTACAGGTCTTGGTTGATGCTGAGGTGGCCCACAAGGGCTGCCAAGCGGGGAGCCTGCACATAGGTATCATCTTGCATGATGAAAAACCAGTCGTAGTCAGCCCCAAAGTGTGTATGAAGGTGGCGCAGGGTCTCTGACATCAGCCAGGCAGGCCGCTCGTCCCCATGGGACACCACCTGCATCCCCACAGGAGCTCGGGCCCCCCGCTGCCCCGTGAAGTAGAGCAGGCGAGGGAAGTGGTGGGCCACGGTGCGGTTAACAGCCACAGCCAGCGTGGCAAGCGTGGCCCGGGAAGTCAGGACGGCCACTAGTAACCGCTCACGAGAGCCCAGCTCTGTCTGGATGTAGCGAGTCCTGTGGAGACAGGGGGAGGGGAGTCAATTCGTCTTTAAGGAGTGCGTGCTAGCCTGTCCAGCTCCTATGTCAGGAATGAAATAGCTGGGTTAAGCAGAGGGAATGAGACTTCCTTCCTCCAATACTAACTAACCACTGGAGTGAATTGCAGTGAAACCAGAGTTGAGCAGGTGGATGGGTCTACCCCTGGTTTCAATGGGTGCAAATCTTGCCCTATTCAACAACAGTGAACACACTAAATTAACACCATTGGGCAAGATTTTCTTAGACTTGAGAAAGGGAAGCAACTAGTAACAAACTAACATGGAAAATAATACCAAAAACACTGCTCCAAGAGACCTAACACTAAGTATCAATAGAAGGGCAGAGTCAAGGACTTACAGCAGCCCTAAGCTGAGATGTTGGCACCCAAGGAAGCCTCCCTCACCTGAGCACCTTCTTGTAGGGCTTGTTGGGATCCCTGTAGTAAGGGACAATCCGGGGTTTGAAGTCTTCATCGCTTTGGTCCAGCCGACTTTTTGCGTCTGGATTCTGTGGGCCCCCTGGCTCCCCCACAGCATCTACACAGGGCTCTTCTCCCTCACCCTGGATCCAGGAAACTCGCAGGAGGCTCAGGCTGCACCCCAGAGACAGCCCGAGGATGAGGGGCAGTGCTGGTCGCAGCAAAGCCAACAGAGAGCTCAGTCGCATGGTGGTAGGTCCTGTCATGTGGGTGCCCCAAGGGGCACCGCTTCCAGAATCAATGTGTTTGGTGAGCCCCAGGCCAGCAGTGGGTGGGCATTTTAACCAGGGAACCCTGGGACAACCAGATCAACCACAGATCCTCTTGCGTTGGCATCCAGCCCCAGCATTTCCAGGAAGAGCAACGGTTATTGTCACCACTCCCTCTGCCTAGTCTGCAGATGGCTAAGGTGCTGGGTCCACGCTTCAGCCCAAATAGTAATACATACGCAAATGTCTTCCCTCACCACTGGGATTACAATTTGTCTTCCCGCAGAAAGGAAAAGAAACACAACTCAATAATGCCAAATATAACCCCCAAAAGACTACACACACCTGCAGGCAGGCAGGGTTTAAGTCAGAGTCAGAAGCAACTGATCAGAGGCCACCCAAAACAAAAACACCCCACTCGAGCCATCAAACCACTCTCCAACCATTGCCTGAAGGCATCCAGATCCACTCAGGCTGCAGAAGGGAGTTACTGCCCAGGCAGCCACAGGGAAAAGGGGCCGGGGCCTCCTTCCTCCCTACTCGCGTGTGTCCAAGAAACCCACGCAAGCCTCAGCAGCCGCGCGGGCTGCAAACGAGCCTGCCCACCCAGATGAGGTGGGCAGACACGGTGACTCAGCACCGCCAGCCGCTCAGGGGAGCGCGTGGCTCACGCAGCCATTTTGCGGGGGCTTCCTCCCCGCGTTCCCGCCGGCGCGCGCGGCGTGGAATCTACGGGGCACGCGCTGTCCACCCGCGAGCGACCCGCTGCCCGGCCTTCACCGCGCCCCCGCGACCGCACTGCGACACCCCAGAGGCCAACGGGGCCGAGCGGCGGGGGAGGACCGGGCGTGCGAGGCCGGCGGAAGGCCGCTGCCTCCCCACCGGACCGCGGCGGGCCAGGGCCTCCGCTCGGCCCCCGGCGACCCGCAGCCCAACTTCAGCCCTGGCCAAGACCCGAAGGCCGTTCGTCCCCGAGCCTACGTCCCGCAGCGGCAGAGTAGGGGCGGCTGTCCGGCTGGTTTGTTGGGCGGGCCGGGCCGCGGGGAGTCGGGCAGGGACCCCGTTCTCACGCGCGCCGGGGCGCGAGGCCGCGGACGACGAGGGACGCCCCACTCCCGCGGAAGGAGAGGCCTTGGCAGCGGGGCCGGGGACGGCACGGGCCGGACGGAGGCTCTGGCCCGGGCCCGGAGGACTGGGAGAGAAACGAAGAACGGAGCCCGGTGTCCGCGGAGCCGGCGCCGCCGCAGCCGCTGCCACCTCACGACCCGGCCCACGGCTTCCTCTTCCGCTACCTGTCAGTCGGCCGTCTCTATGGTGACCGCATCCGGCCGCTCGCTCCAGCCGCGCCCCGCTCTCTATGGTCGCCCGGCTCACTGCCAGCTCCCGCCCCTAGTAACGGCCCGCCCCGCCCCCTAGTAACGAGCCTATTTCTCCAGACTGTGAGGGTGGGAGAACCCGACTGGACCAGAGGCTCATTTTCAGTAAATGTGTTTCTCGCATCCCCATCATCCAGAGCAGTTGCTTAAGAAATGTATTCCTTGGGCTGGGAAGGTGGCCCAGTGGTAGAGTGCTTCCCTTGCATGCATGAGGCCCTCGGTTCGATTCCTCAGCATCACATAAGCAGAAAAAGCCGGAAGTGGAGCTGTGGCTCAAGTGGTAGAGCACTAGCCTTGAGTTGAAGAGCTGAGGGACAGCGTCCAGGCCCAGAGGTCAGGCCCCACAACTGGCAAAAATATATATATATATATATATATATATATATATATATATATATATATATATATATATATATATATATATATATATATATGTTTTCCTTTGGCTGGGAATGCGGCTTAGTGCTTGCCTAGCATGCATGAAGCCTGGGTTTGATTCCTCAGTACCACATAAACAAAAAAAAAAAGCCAGAAGTAGCACTGTGGCTAAGTGGTTGAGTGCTAGTGATGAGAAAAAGTTGCTGAGGGACAGTGCCCAGACTTTGAGTTCAAGCCCCAAGACTGGCTAAAAATAAAACAAAAGCCTCCAGCTTCACTTTTCCCAGTGCCAGGATTACAGGTTGCACCACCTTCCAGACGTGCGCTTAGTCAGTGCATGTTTACTGCCTGGCTTCCTCATTCTGGCTGCTTGAAGGAAGGGCCAGGCCCATCTTGCCCACCACTAGTTTACCCCATACTGGACGCTGGGATTTAATAGGAAAACATTTCTTTTTTTTTTTTTCAACTTGCAATTCTTTTATTTTTTCATTGTGAAAATACCGTACAGTGGGGTTACAATTACAAGGGCAAGGTAATGAGTACATTTCTTTTTTTTAAATTTTAATTTTTATTTTTTGTGAACATACTGACATACTGTACAGAGGGGTCACAATTAGGAAAACATTTCTTTTTTTTTTTTTTTTTGGGTCCGGTCGTGGAGCCTGAACTCTGGGCCTGGGCGCTGTCCCTCGGCTCTTCAGCTCAAGGCTAGCACTCTACCACTTGAGCCACAGTACCACTTCCGGCTTTTTTCTTTTTGCTTACGTGGTGCTGAGGAATTGAACCCAGGGCCTCAGGCATGCAAGGCCAGCACTCTACCACTGAGCCACCTTCCCAGCCCCAGGAAAACATTTCTTAAGCAACTGTCTGGTGATAGGGACGCGAGTTCTCCCTCCCTCCTCTGAATCTGGAGAAATCAGCTCGTTACTAGGGGCACTTATCACAGTGCCTAGGCCCTGAGTTCAAGGCTCAAGACAAGAAAGAAAGGAAGGAGAAAACTACTAGAATGAAGAGACAGCCTACAGAAATGGGAGAGAATCTCTGACAGCTATTCATCTGACAGGGGGCTAGTATCTAGATATATAAAGAATTTAAAAAGGTAAGCACCAAAAAAAAAAAATCAGCTAATAGTGGGTAAATGAACTACACAGATAGTGTTGAAAAGCAAAAATGGCTAATAAACACATGAAAAATGTTCATCTTCAGCCACTAGAGAAATACACTAAGATTCCAGATCACTCCAGTCAGAATAGCTATCCCCAAGAAACCAGAAAACAACTGATAAGGGCTGGGAGGAGAAACTTTATTTTTTTTTAATTTCCTGGTCCTGGAGCTTGAACTCAGTACCTGGGCAATGTCCCTGAGCCACTTTGTGCTGATAACTAGTGCTCTACCACTTGAGTCACAGTGCCACATCCAGCTTCTTCTGAATAGTTTATTGGAGATAAGAGTCTCACAGACTTTCCTGCCCAGTCTGGCTTCAAACCGTAATCCTCAAATCTCAGCCTCCTGAGTAGCAAAGTGAAAGTAAGCCACTAGCAGCTGGGCCACTAGCACCACGCAGGAGCAACTTTTTGTGTGTGCCAGTCCTAGAGCTTGAACTCAAGGCTTAGGTGCTGTCCCTGAGCTTTTTTGTTCAAGGCTGGGTCTCTACCACTTAAGCCACAGCTCAGTTTTCAGCTCTTTGGTGGTAAATTGGAGATAAGAATCTCACTGACTTTCCTGCCTAGGCTAGCTTTGAACCATGATCCTAGGATCTCAGCCTCCTGAAAAGCTAGGATTACAAGTATGACTCACATAACCAGCATTCAGGAGAAACTTTTTGTGTGTGTGTGTGTCCACCGTGGGGCTTGAACTCAGGGCCTGGGCACTGCCCCTAAGCTTCTTTTGCTCAAGGCTATCACTCTACCACTTTGAACCACAGCTTCACTACCAATTGTTGTTTTAGGGTGGTTAATTGAAGATGAGAATCTCAAGGACTTTTCTGCCCAGGCTGGCTTTAGACTGTGATCCTCAGATTTCAGCCTCCTGATTACAGGCATGAGCCACCAGTGCCCGTTTATCAGGAGACTTTTATAGATGCTTAGTAGGAATGTAAACCGTGCAGCCTATGGAAATCAGTGTGGATGGCCCTAAAAGTAGAACTACATTGTATCAAATTATACTATTCCAGGGTATATATCCAAAGGAATAAAAATAAAAGAGAGATTGAGGGAGGGAGGGAAAGTGGAAGAAAAAACTAGGGAAGGGGTAACAATGTTCAACAAGAAGTGTACTCATTACCTTATATATGTAACTGTAGGTCCTCAGCACATCACCGTGACAATAAAATTAAATTAAAAAAAAAGAGAGCTACATGTCCATGTTTATCAAAGCAAAATTCCCATATATGGGATTATAGGGTCATCCTATAGGTGGATGAATGGATAAAGAAAATGTAGGGCTGGGAAGGTGGCTCGGTGGTAGAGCGCTTGCCTAGCATGCATGAAGCCCTGGGTTCCATTCCTCAGCACCATATCAACAAAAAGCCAGAAGTGGCACTCTGGCTCAAGTGGTAGAGTGCTAGCATTGAGCAAAAGAAGCTTAGGGGCAGTGCCCAGGCCCTGAGTTCAATCTCCAGGACTGGCAAAAAAAAAAAAAAATCATAGCAACTCTGGAAGCTGAGATCTGAGGATCGCAGTTCAAAGCCAGCCCAGGTAGGAAAGTCTGTGAAACTTTTTTTTTTTTTTTTTTGTCGGCCATGGGGCCTGAACTCTGGGCCTGGGCGCTGTCCCTCAGCTCTTCAGCAGTAGACTAGTGCTCTACCACTTGAGCCTCAGCCCCACTTCCGGCTTTTTCTGCTTCTGTGGTGCTGAGGAATCAAACAGTGGGCCTCATGCATGCAAGGCAAGCACTCTACCACTCAACCATCTTCCCAGCCCCCATCTGTGAGACTCTTATCTCCAATTAAGCACCAGAAAACCGGAAGTGGTGGTGTGGTTCAAGTGGTAGATCACTAGCCTTGAGCAAAAGAAGTTTGGGGCAGTACTCAGGCCCAGAGTTCAAGCCCCACGACCAACTAAAAAAGAAAATGTAAGCCGGGCGCTGGTGGCTCACGCCTGTAATCCTAGCTACTCAGGAGACTGAGATCTGAGGATTGCGGTTCAAAGCCAGCCCGGGCAGGAGAGAATGTGAGACTCTTTTTTTTGTTGTTGTTGTTGGTCGTGGGGCTTGAACTCTGGGCCTGGGTGCTGTCCCTCAGCTCTTCAGCTCAAGGCGAGCGCTCTACCACTTGAGCTACAGCGCCACTTCCGGTT